GTTATTGTTAATCTACGACGTTCACTTAAAGGTACGTGTATTTTTGTAAATTGTTCCGCGAAATAGTTCTTGCACGAGCATTCTTCTCGGCAATAATTTTGTTTGTTAAGACAAGCGATAGCATGATCCACTCTTTCGCATACTGTATACATAATCGTGAGTGTTTTGCGTATACAGTGTGCGAAAAATATTAAAAAACTTCATATAAAAGCTTTAAAACGTTGTGGGTGTTTCTTAACGAAGGATTTTAATGAACAACTTTTGAAAAGGTTCAACTTTCATTTTCTTGAACTTGAACAGAAACGGAGCGAAATCAAGTTTCTAGAAATTTTAATCGGCTTATATATCCCTCCCTTTCAAATCTAAAATCTGAAACGTTACCTACGTGATGTAACACTCGCTAATGAATTTATTTTGGCTTAAAATATAATAGGACTCCCAAATAAAGGACGAAATCTCGAAAATTAGCTTCTAATTGGGAAATTGAAATGACAGAGGAACTCTTGTTATTAAAATTAATCAGATGATAAGTTGCTAAGTGATTTAGTTTCTATTTTTAGTTTCTTACAGGACGTCTCAGTAACTATCCAATTTTAATATAGGATTAGAAACGATCGGAGAAAATACCAGTACAGATTTTGTCAAAGAAAGTGCAAGAAAATGTTTAAGGGAGTTGCTAAAAAGATTTATAAAAACCACTCCCTTCTGATACTTGGTCTTCAATCTATTCTGTAATGGATTTTCTAGTAATTATTTATTTAGTATTGTAATACACTGTACACAGTTATTTATCTTACACTCTGATTACTATTAACTTTCTTCGTTCGCCCACTATCTTGTTATTTATTTATAGTTACGGTTATCGAACTTTCCTGATTACTTCCGGAAACTTCTCGTAAATTTGTTTCTTTTGTTGCGCCATCTTTGTATGTGCCGTGTAGGTATAATTTACGACATCTATTGTCGGCTCTTAAAGACGCCGCAGGCAACATAGATCGCCACTTGCGGCACTCGTTCGTTACAATAAGTACAAATAAAAGTAGTCTTTCTTTAGCATATTATATATTGTATAACTGCCTTTGTTTAAGCTAATATGATTATTTGCTTTTATATTATATAGATAAATTAATAGTAGTTGTAGTACCTAGTGCACAATTTACGTTTATATAGGATATTATTCCAGGCCGTGGTAAACAAAAACAACTCGCNCCGCGGGCGCCTTTCTTCATGTGCGCCGTATTTGTAAATGTGTGTGGCGTACCTGCGTTCTGGGAAAGCAGTTACACAGTTCAAAGAAAAAGAAACTTTTCCGGACGTTTCGAGAAGGTTCCCGAAAGGAAACTAAAGAGTATTTAAAGGAAGAGACGATCGCTGAGAGTAGGAGAAATAAATTGAACAGTACTTTTCTTCTGGATAAAAAGTACCCTACGTCCTTTTCTGTACCCCTAACAATGTGTGTAAAAAATTTCATAATAGGTTTTACCCGCGGCTTCGCTCCTGTTGATGTCCTAAATTACAGGTTAGGTTCTTATCGCCTAGCCGTAACGTGGAATAACAAACTTAGTTCCAAAATAAAAAGGAAGAATATGAAAAAATGCTTCTTATATTTTTGTTTTGTAGAACTTATTAAAATTTTAATAACCGCCGCTTCAGTATATTAATTAAGCAAATATTATTTTATGTGATAGATATAATTCATTTTGGCATTTTCACTATTAAACGAAACGGTAAGTAATAAAACAGAGTGCGATGGGGATGTAGGGAGTTGAAAAGAAAATTCTGTTTTAAAATTACCTTTGAACTTTTCTCTTTAATAACTTTTCGTCATGATGAAGCAACCCACTCGCTCAGTTCAGTTGCAATAGAGGCGGGAGAAGAACTTTCCGTACCTTTGGAAGCATATAATTAATTTAATTTATGAGGTGACTAGAGTTAACTTATTATATTTATTTTCCAATATTTCTGAAAAAGTAGAAAAAGGCGTTGCATCGGCCAGGAATCCAGAAAGTTTTCGAGGTTAGAAATAAGGAATTCTAACAAATTTCTATCATTTATCATGTGAAAATTAATTAAGGATTAAAGGTTTCCAGATAAGTAAATATTTTCTTCTGAGTCAAAGGTTTTGCGTGGTCGAAGCACTGGCGTAGTTCACGAACTTGATACATGTTGCGTTAACATTTGGATCGCGCTGTACCTGACCAGAACAAAAGGTTAATTATCGGTGAACCGTGCAGAAAAGTTTTATTAAAGTTAGGGCAAGACCTGCTGCCTTCCAGTCCAGCGCACATATAATGATAGTGAAGTATCTATCACTAACAGTATTAAAAGTTGCGTAGCTGTTGCTTAGAATTTCGGAAAGAAAATGAAATCAAAACGGTAGAATTAATGTTTACAGAACAAAGGAAGGGAATTTTCCGAATTTCCGCTCGTGACGAGTATATAAATTGGCCCAATGGGCCCAACGAATGTTCAGTATCGGGGCAATGAAGCGCAAAACGGAATTAAAAGGATTCATTTCGAGATAATAAGACTCTGCTGGTTAAAATTATTATAGCGTAATAATACATGAGCATTCTCGAAAGTTTTTTCTGTATTTGTTATAAATGACTTATGTCCTGAGCCCTTGTTAAGTCGGGTCCAATTTACTTTATATTAATTTATATTTAATACCAGTAGAAAACGTTTTAAGTTGAAGGAACTTTGCAAATAGCTTCGAGGTTTCGGTGTAGCATAAGTCTCATCTAGCCCGCCAGCGGTTCGGGCTCGATTCTAAGCCGATGATATATTTTTTTTCTTCTTAATTTATTATAGGTACATACGTCACTCCAAAAAACAATTGGTGATAGTGATTCACCCTTGAATGTAACACCCCTAAGTGATATGATACTATAACTATACACAAAAATCAAAATTAAAAAAAAAAGTAGTAGTTTGGGGTGAATGTGAAACGAACGAATTGAATTTTGATTAAATTGTGTATTCTGTGCCTTACATCTGTCAGTTTGAATTTTTATCCGCTACGTTTGGGCAAAGGTGCGTACAAAATATGAAAAGGACCCTCAAAGGGACGCCATGTGCGAGTTGAATAATAACAGAGGAAGAAAACCCCCAGCACAAATATAAAATAAATTACAAAGAAATATCATTTTAGAATCTTCTTTTTGGATTGTAAAGCAGGACGGAGCAAATAAAATGATCGGCGACAACAATATATTTAAAATCCACTTGAAGGAAAAAACTCAAACTTCAATATAGTAAAACTCAATCAGTGCTGTGCTAAGTCATTTTTAGTTTCCTTTTGCGAAGTTGAAATATTAAAGAATTCTGCTTAAAGTACATAAAGTATTTATTCATTTGATAATAGTAATTAGGTACGTATCGTCGTTATTTTTGCTGTCACCTTTCGCAGCTTAGTGCTAAAGCAATGGCGTGTGAAGTCAAAAGCCCGGGTTCGATTCCCGACGAGGGCGTTATAGTAGTAACAATTTCTCCTCCTTAATTTGAGGTTATCTGTAGTGGTATTGCTCGTGTCAAACGAAATAATGAGATTCTATATTTCATACACGTGTTTATCTACATACGACAGAAACTTGTGCCAAAAGTAAGCATTATAAGCAACGTTTATAACATACTATTCAAGGGATGCATTTACGAAAGCGAAAAAGTATTTGTGATGTGAAAAATAAGATGACTACCACCAGATATTGCCTGCGAAAACAAATATGTAATATGATACCGCATTTCCCATAAAGATGTGTGAGAATACAAAGGGAATATTGTGTCTCAGTTTCACCCTCTCATGATTCTTCGAGGTTCCAAGCTTTGTATGAATGTAAGCGTCAGTGTTAGGGGCTGTAATTTAACCCTTTACGTAACCTATGTATGCTAAAGCACAAACCAAAGTGTAGCACTCATTAAACCACATAACATGCTCATAGGATTTTGGGGTAGGTACCAAAAAATGATTGTTAACCACCACGCCCTTTAGATCTGCTGTTGTTCATAAACATGTGTCAAAATTGTTACGTGGGGGTCAATGTTTTCTGCTTTTTAAAATACTTACCGATCCTATAGACGGTCTTAAGTGGCGATAAGCCCAGTTTTATGTCTGTACGACGATTGAAAGGGCAGACCTTGAAAAAAATGCCTTCTATTAATAGTATATTATGCCCCAGGTGGACCAAAACAAGTTTTTACATGACAGGCGAAATGTTTCTAGGACGAGCCGTCTACGAGTCACTGGCGAGCACCTACTTGCTAAAAACAACTTGTAAAGCGCGTCGTTTTACAAAATGATCAAGTGGCAGGCGGATTGTTTTTAGGACGAGCCGTCTGCGAGTCACTGGCGAGCACCCACTTGCCAAAAACAACTTGTAATGCGCGTCGTTTTACGAAACAATCAAGTGGCAGGCGGAATGTTTTTAGGACGAGCCGTCTACGAGTCATTGGCGAGTACCTACTTGCCAAAAACAACTTCTAAAATTCGTCGTTTTACAAAATGGCCAGAATTAATTCCGAAAATGCCGAAATTATGGCTTTTCAAAGGGTTACATCAAAAATTAGGAGCTGATAATTGATATTTACTGATTTGTTTTCGTTTTATTGCTTCTGCAATTTATGTCAAATTATTTAAAATTAATAAATACAAATTACGAGCGAGCCCCACCCTAATTTTTGAGTTTGGCAGTAAATTAACCCATTAAAAGTCACTAATTTTGGAATTTTCAAAATTCATTTTGGTCACTGTATTATGCCAGTTTCACAGACATCCGCCTGTCACCTGAAAACTTAGGCCACATGGTGCATTTGTAACTTTATTCATAAGATAATACGATTCTGAAAACATCGGTTTTGTTTTCGAGTTCACACTCTGCCTTCTTGATACGTCACTGTTCTAAAGACCTTTCAATTGGTATTGACGCAAGCACTGTTAGCGCTCAGTTTTGCAGCATAATAGGGAAAGAGAGAGAGCGAGAGAGATTTATACAGAAAATATTTACCTTGAAAGCTTCCCTGAACTTCCTGGACATGATGTGGTACAAAATGGGATTAATGGTTGTCGAGAAGTAATAGAGAACTCCGGAAATGTAGTTGAGAGCTATGTAGAACTCCACGAAGGACCTTTGGGTTTCTGCAGGCGCCGTCTGCATGTACATAGCCAGGAGACGTTGCGAATGGAAGGGGGCCCAACATATAAAAAATGCAGCCACCACTGCCACTGAAAATAAAACGAAAACACTAATGTCAAAAACGTACTCTTTATATGGTAAATATTTTGAGCAGTTTTAGGGAACGTTCCCGTACTACGTGACCAATTTTTTTTACAATGTTTACCCTCTCCCTCCTTCCTCCCTCAGTGACCTATTGGTTCAGGCACTGAGAAATTCAGGCTTTATTTTCATATCATCTGAACCCAATTGTCAATTTTGTAAACCGTTTCTTCTTTAAATTCGATTACGTAAGTTATGGTAGGTACAGACAACACAAACGAAGTCGAAATATTGAATTACAAGGTGAAATTCCAAAAAAAAATGTTTAGTTCTTCTACGTCTTCGTACTTTTTCAACTTTATTAATTGCAATTCATGCTCTTGATTAGTCAATAAAGGCAATTAGACGCATTTTGTATATATATATGCAAAAATTTTGTATTTTACAGCGTTCCACGTGCAGGAAGAAAATAAAAAATGAAAGAAGATACCCTTACAAACAAGGTTCATTTATCGACGAACTTGCAATAATTGAGTGGTTTTGTGGGATGCCTATCAGAGTATTAATCGTTTACGATGATGGCGAGAACAAGTTTATCCTTTCTACGAAATTGTAACGTTTCGGCAAACTCCATCCTCTTCTTACTCGCCCGCTATAAACAGTTCTAATTTGGGATCGGATAATGATTAAATTCGACCCTGATTAACGAAAGTTTTGTTTCAGACCTTAATGTATACTATTTAGGATATTTATCTCAAATTAACTCATCGACTCTATTCCAAATTTCCGTTCTGTTAATATTCGTATAATTTAACTTATAATATATAGCAATGAAATGCGTTTTGTAATCTGTTAAGTACTTGTAGGTACTTACAAAGCTTAAATTTTGTAGCGGTGTTTTAAAAGCAATAAGGATTATTATCTCTTAACATGTCCACAGTCACCTGGTGTAAATCTAATTCTAATTACCCCCCCCCCTTGCCCCCGTCTGAATGTGCATCAGAATTGCAGAATTACAGTATTGACAAAACAGTATTGTACGGAAATAGACAAAAGTAAAACAAATATACTGGTTTGCAAGGGAAGATAGGTGACGAAAAATTGGAACAAGTGGATGATTTTAGGTATTTAGAAAGTCAAAGAAATCAGGATGGAAGGAATAGTAGGAATATAAAGCAGATGATAACGCAGGGTCGAATCGCCTTCAATAAAAAGAAGTCACTTCTATGCTCGCGAACGGTTAATGTGGTGTTACAGGCGAATGATGAGAATACCGTGGATTGAGAAGGTTAGAAATCAAGAGGTATTAGAAAGAATAGGAGAACAGAGGACTCTAAAAAAGTTAATAAGAAGTAGGAGACATAGGTTGGTAGGACACCTTCTCAGGCATGAAGATCTCTTTAGAGGCAGAAACATGACTTAGGAGGGATACAGGTAGACCTAAATGAAATTAGTGTTTGGAAATAGTTAAGGGTGTGGGATGTTCTTGTTTTAATACCGAGTGGCATGGCCTAGAGGTCTAGACCATTGCTTAGCATTCGGGAGGACGCCGGTTCGATTCCGGGTCCGTCTGCCTTGGTCCAAGTTTTTCAGTGGTTTCCTTGGATCACTTAGGCAAATGCTGGGGCAGTAATATTCCACAGATAATCTTTCATTCTCTTCTGTCTTCATTTCGTCCGTCTCATTTTTCTCACCCGAACCATCACTCACCCATTCCCACGATTCCTGAAAGCAGGCTGAAGAGGGCCTTCCGCCCTACCTTCCGGCATAGTCCGGAGAGACTGCCCGCCCACCAGCATTACTGGCTGGTGGGAATAAAACACCCAAAAGAAAAAAAAAAGGAAATCTTGTTTTAAGGAAATGCGAAAATTAGCTCATGATAAGAATTAGTAGAGGTGCGTGGCCAACCAGTCTTGGAAATGACGATCTTATGATGATGATGACGTAAAATACAGAGAAGATAGAAGACATTGTAGATAATTGAATTAGTAAAATTTTAGAAAGGACAAATATAAGTCTATTACAGAAAAGATGTTTTGTTGATCGAATTAATGCAATGAAATATAAACTGACACATGAGCCTCTGTCAGCTCTGGATAATTTATAAATAAAACGAATACAATTTTCCCCGGTCCTTTCTATAAGGATTATTACTGATCAATAATTATTTCTTATAAGCAGACTTTCTTTGCAATTATTCTGGCGTATCGCAGACGTTACATAACTAGATCGTCGAACGACTGAACGTCAAAACTTTTAATTGCTAAGGAATTTCTAACTAAACACGAAATTTTTTAAACGTAACCCAAAAAACAGCACTCTTTTATTCTTTATTTTGTATACGTAACATGAAAATTCGTTTATTTTCGTATATGCAAAAAAGATCGTTTATTATTCAATCAGAAATTTATAGACGATGGATCGGTAAATATTCGATTTGTGAAGGCCTACATTAATGGAATTCTTGGCACCTAATAGATGGGTCAGTTCACAAAAAACAAATACAACTATGGACAGACATAAATTTATTAAAATATAGGGGTTATAAACCTCGTTGCCTGTTAATGTTATAAACATATATACAGTTTTGTCATTGGCGTTTTAAAAATTTAGTTTTCTAATTCAGAAAATGATTCAAATGCTCTGTATATTACAAATATTACTGAAACGCACAAGAAATTGCTTGTTGATCATCTGTACATATATATATATAGCAGGTAAAGGATAAAGTTTTACCCTGACATTTCGAGTAGGAATTGTAACTTTTCAAAAGTATCAAACTCTGAAAGTTGTCACAATTTACGTTTATATAGGATATTATTCCAGGCCGTGGTAAACAAAAACAACTCGCTGATTTGTTAAATTATCCGTAGCGATTGTTTATTTTATCGCCAATAGGTTTCCGTTGTGACAAACAAATGTTGCAATTGATATATTGCTTGTTTTGTTTTGAGTTAATTCAACAAAATACCAAACTACGAGAAGTATCAAAATAACCAGAAAGTTACAATATAACATAAATATTTATAAATTACCTGTAAAATATCAAATTCACTGACATAGGTCAGTGTAAAATAGTAATTGTTATCGCAATTGGCGTTAAAGATTATGTTTTACTATAAGTAGTTTACCAATTTATGCCTAAGGCTGGCTTTGGATTGTAACTTCGTATGGTTTTCATACAATTTTTTCTCCTTTAACCACCTGCTTCAGTTACCATTCGAATCCCCTTTGGATCTACTTAACACCCTTCTAAAGCTTGTATTTATTTCAGAAACATATTAATTACAGACCATTCGTCAAAATTGAGACGGGTTGTATTTTATAAGACGTATTTTGAATTGAATTGAGAAAGTTTAATAAATATTATCTGATTCAGCTGCTTGTCTCTCCTGGATATTGATTATTAAGTTTAAGTACAAAGTTCTGTCTTTGTTTTTCTCCACTAGTTTGGAATTAAATATTTGAAAAGTTCGCCAATTGAATTCACGTATACAAAGAAGTGTTGCCGAGTGTAAAAGATAGATCAAAGAAACAGCACTGAGATTCATAGAGACGATGAAGGGCCAACAGTGGTAGCATCAATATTATTATTGCAAAGGAAAACGCCGATGGCATTTAGCAACGATGTTGAATTACTTTTTCAGAAGAAGATTAAATATCATCATCATTTCGTTTCATAATATCTTCGCAGAAAAAAAATCAGTTCCAAATTTATTCGCCTTGGTCAACTGGTTTGAGATTGTCTTGTTCTCAAATTCTTTTCAAGTATTTGAATAATTTACTGCTTGCTCAAATCTTGTTTTTATGAATTTTAAATGTGATACCGGTTTTCAGGCGAAATATTTGTAAAAAATAATGATAAATACATTTATTTTTGTGTGTATAATATAGCATAAAAAGCGAATATAGAGATATGAGACGAAAAATTAGAAGAAGTGGCCGATTTTAGGTATCTAGGATGTCAGATAAGTCAGGACGGAAGGAGTAGTAGCGATATAAAGCAGGCGATAGCGCAGGGTCGAGTCGCCTTTAATAAAAAGAAGTCACTTCTATG